CAGGATGCGATTGCGACTGCAGCGTTAGCTGAAAAACGCTGTTGCTTATGACGAATGTTTGCTCCAGATTTGCCAGGATATGTGCCAAACATAGCTATTTGGGGCAGTGTGCCCTGGGCATCCAATTTCCTACTTCTCTGTCTTGCTATTATAGTATTAGAAAATATAAATTATGAGCAGGAATGCTTGCATTGCATAAACATGTCAGCAAGAACCTTGCTTTTGTTTTGCTGCACCTACCGTATCAAAAAAGGTGAAGTGGGAAAAGTGCGAAATCTCTCAGGCTGTGAAGCAGCTGGAGTTTTCTCGAAGTATTGAGGGGAGAAAACAGTTTTGGCAGGACTTTTATCTAACTTACGACAAAATGCAGGAAATACTCCTACGCAAGGATTACTGGATATCATTCTCTTGACAGTTTTTTGCTAGGAGAAAGCGCAGACCTGACCACCGATCCAAGCCATATATCGGTTCGGGTCAAGCACCTCCTGCTCGTCCCTGCCTTCTCCTTCAGTGTTTTTTACTGCTTGCCGACTGTTGACAGATCCAGTGTGTGCCTAAACAACTCCAATATATCAAAACCACATGCTACTTGTGCCAATAAAATTTCGAATTTTTTGTTAAAAAGTAAACATAAGACACTGAAAACCAATCATGGCGATTTTACTGCGTTTCTGCATTTATGTAAATATGAAAGTGCGTACAGAACTAACTGTTTGTGTGTGTGTGTCTGTACATAACGTATGTATGTACATATGTAAGTATGTGTGTGTTCTTTTGTGCAACCTATTTTCAAATGTAAATTTTGAGCTTGCATGTGAATTGGAGCCCAGTTTACTAGCTTCAAGCTTGCAGCTGAAGCTTGTACCAAATTTGGGCTCTGTAAGCAAAGCAGTGTAAAAAAGCGCATGGCTGTTTTGGTCTAGCGCGATCTGCTACTAATTTTTGCTCGATTATCCCTCATTGATCTGTGAGTAAAATCATGATTTTGGAAAAATCATGGTGACTTTTTTGGCAGTAAGGATTTGATGACAGTGATAAAACCATAAGTCATGACAAAGTTTGTGGCTTGGTTTAGATTATCATAATAGTGATAATTAAATTCTGGGGTAAAAAATTATGTTTTGGATAAACAACTGGAGGCGTTAATTCAAGTTCTTTAGTAAGAAACCGAATCCTTCTTGTCACCTCGTTTATTTACTTATTTATTTTTTGATGATAAAAACAAAGGAGATAAACGAGAAAGCAACTATATCCTAAATCTCGCCCGATACC